CTAATCAATCGATTTCTTTTTCCTTTTGTTACCTAAGAATTCAATTCAGTAGGATTCTTCCCATTAATATAAAACATTAGCTAACTCTCCTTTTTTCTATTTTTTTTATTTACCCTCCCTAGGAGCTCCACCTCTTTTGCTCCATTGGTGACTCGAACTCGCAACGTTCGGGTTGGAAGTGAGGGGTGCTTACCATCCAAGCAACTCAAAAATCTTAATATCTTCAATTTTTTTCATTTGTAACAACTCCTTAGAAAATGTTTTATGTGTTTGGTAGCAGAATTTTCAATTTTTTCATGTTTGGTTGATCAAAATTTTTAAAAAACTTATTTCGTTTAAAACAAGAAAAATGACTTCTCTTATAGTAATATGGAATACAAGCTCTACAAATAGTATCACACTAATTGTCTAATCTCACCCTCCTCCGACACACCCCCAAACCACATAGCCCACATTTCCACCGTCCCACACCCCTAGCCCATGCTAATTTCAATAGCGTTCGTCTAGATTATATCCAAAGATCTCTGAGACTATTTTCTACGTATTTATCAAACACAAAAAAATAAATTAAAACAAACTTTTTTTAAATACCAAAGACATCTATAAGTGTTTGGAAGAATTTGTTGATGCCATAGAGCTATTAATATAATTACACTTTAGTTTATGTCAACTTTATTCACCTGCATCATGCAATTATGAAAGTTTTAACGTACATGATTCATTTCTCTAACTATATAATCATGCTGCCATCCCATTATTCCCATTCCAAAAAATAAAATGGCCCCACCCTAACCCAAAAAAGGCCAAAAAAAAAACAAAAGGTGTGCTGTTATAAGAAAGAAAAAAAAGGGGAAATGATGGATAGATACTGTCTAGCTACTACATTAATATTTCTCATTAATGTCATCAATAACAGTTGTATTTCCAAAGTGGGAAAATATATATGAAGAAATGGAAAATACAGAATTCCCTAATCTTCGCATATCAAAAATTATACAAAAAGTACTATAAATTATAATTTTTTTTGATATCATAAAATGTTAGTCAAAGTTCTTATCATTTGACTCGAAAAAAGAAAACCACAACAACTAAAAATAGACGAAAAGAGTATGATATAACTATTTTTAATAAGATGAACAATTAATATAAGATAGAGGGAGTACTATATATAGCCATTTATCAATAAAGGATTTTTTTTTATACAACTGAAAATATACTTTAATTTAAATATTTGATTAACTATCTTAGTAAAGGTAAAAAATAGAGTAAAATTACATAATTAGCAATCTTGATTATGTCAAAATGACAATTATATTTTGAGGCGACCAAAAAAAATTACTAATATTTTCTTAAATAATATGTAATACTCCCCCTGTTCCTTTTTATTAGTTTAATTTTGACTTTTTACTTGTTTATTTTTATTTATCATTTTTGACAAATAAAAAAAAGACAATATTTTTTTACTTATTATACCCTTAATTTATTTAGAATCTCTTTAATGAGTAAATTAATTTTAAAATTTTATCAATTAATAAAGATAAAATAGTAAACTCGCTATGTGAATTATTATTATCCTAGTAGATGTTCCAAGTCAAAAATAAACAAATAAATAGAGATAGAGGGAGTAAAGAAATATAATAAATAATTTGAGACTAATTAAATATAGATGAAAATTCAATGATTTAAAAAATGACACGACCGGGGCCAAGTATCCTCAATTTTTTTTTCCTGTACTACATATATAAAGTTCGACACAATAATAATATAAATAATTAATTTAAAATAATAGAAGTAAGTAATACTTAAATATTTCCTTATTGAATAATTATTCATTATCCTGCTGAGATAAGTTAGTAAGATGAGACAGTTGAAGAATAATGTCGCAGTTAGGTGAAGTCTTCATTAATTGCTCCCACTAACTAACTTGTTTCTATTTGTTGACGACTTTTTGAGACTAGTATTAAAAATTTCGATATGATATGATAATTTGATGTATACTATACTATGTCCATTCCTAATTCAACGTGTAAAGAAATTATTATTTCTTGATTTGAAATTTAACCCCTCTTAAGTATTTTTGAGACAAAAATTAATTTTTTATCGTTTAACAATATTATTATTATTATTATTTTATGTTGAGACAATTGATTATAAGTTGAAAAAAATAAAGTAAGGAAAGAGAGTTGTGGTTTTGGTTGGTCCCTCAAAATATTAAAAATGACAAATTGTGAAAGGGATTTAAAATGTAGCATTAGGACCCCCTACCTCTTTACCCCATTTCTTTCCTGGCATGTTAAAGTTTTCATCGAGTTAATTTCTCGTATGATCACTTAATTAATATTTATGCTACTAGTTATATTTTTGATTTTGTTAAAAAAAAAAGTGCTTCACTTTACTAAAGTTAAAAATACTCAGATTGTATTTATAGAATCAAAATGAATGTAGTCTCGTAGATAAAGAATATTTTTTATCCAAAACTCCATTTTAAGCGTGAAGTTATTTTCATTATTTTTTAAATTGTAATATACATAAGTTTGAAATTGAACAAATCAGACAAACCAAAACCAAACTAAAAAAACACTGAATGAAATAATTTACGATACTTTGGTATCGATATATAGTATTTCTTAAATTCAAACTAAACATATAGAACTAAATTCCTTAAAATTTTACTATTGTTTATATAGTGTTTACTTGACATTTGATTTCTGTAGTAAGTAATATTATTATAGTTTTATATAATAATTTCAGTACTTTTTTAATATCAGATTGAACAAAAGATAAAAACGTATACATAATTTAGTGCTATAAAAAGAAGGGAAAAAGGACAAATATATCCCCAAATTATCGTAAATGGTATACATATACCCTCCGTCATACTTTTGGTACATTGGTACCCCTGCCGTCCAAAAACTAGAGCATATATGCCCTTCACTCTAACGGAAGGCTATATAGGGACACGTGACACAATCTTGTCCGTTGATATGATATTTAATAAATGTTGGGTCGTTGGATAAGATTGTGACACGTGTATGTCCGTTATTATAAAGGGTATATATGCTCTAGTTTTTGGACGGTAGGGGCACCAATGTCCCAAAAGTATAACGGAGGGTATTTACATACCATTTACGATAGTTCGAGGGTATATTTGTCCTTTTTCCCTAAAAAGAATGACACATGAGAGATAAATAGAAAAACTTCAACTTCATTTTCTTATATTTTTATTTAGTTTAAAATTAAGGATAATTATATTTTATATTATACATTGAATATCCCATCTTAAATACAATAATTTTTATTTTTTAAAAAATAAACCCACAAAAAAACACATGAACTATATTCTTTTTTCCTTGCACAATATTTTCTTCTATCGTTTAAATAATTTATTGGCAAACAACCTTAAAAAAGTGAGAGAAATAAATAAAAAGAGAACCCCAGATCAAGAAATTCAAAAGAACAGATAGTCCAAGTTGCAGAAGCTGCTTTTTTTCATTAAAAAAAATAAAATAAAGTATTTAAAGCTTTTTATCCAATCAAGAAATTCTATGACAAAAGCTGAACATCATAAAAGAAAAAAGAAAGGTCCGTAAATTATACTCGTATCGATTCATATTATATGATATACTTTTAGTTCAATCATACCCCTTAAAAAAATTAGGCAATTTACAAAAATAATCATGAAATAAGTGGTTTGAATTTAGATCACAAAACTTCAAATTTAACAAATTTTATTTAATAAATAATAGTTTTATCTTTCGTATGATTATAGATTTTAAAGTTAAAATTTAAAATTTTAAGTTATTGAAGTTGTGATTTTTTAAATTTACTTGATTTTTTTTTATGTTATGTGAGTGAATTTTAAAAATATTTGTTTTATGTGAGTGAATTTTAAAAATATTTGTTTTCTTTTTAAACTCTGGTAAAAAATTTTGGTCAAACAAACATTTGAAAATAGATTTTCAAATCTGTCCCTCAAATCTATGATCAAACGCTAACTTTGACTCTTGAAGATTTTTCGGAGGTTAAAAATTCAAGATCACTCAATTTATAGTATGTAATTTCCTCTACTCGCTCCTAAAGAGTCATTAATAGTATGGTTTTTCTAATTATAAAAACTCATTTATTTATCTAAATAAGACAATCTTGTTATATAAAAAAAAATAAAAAACATTTTATTATAATATGAATTGAAAGGAATAATAGAAAAAAATATTCTAAAAAATTTACTCCCTCCGTTTTTATTGATATGTTATCATTTTAGATTTTACGTATCTTTAGAAACTATGTAACTTTATCTTCATAGTTTTATTTAGTATTTCTTGAAGTCAAATTTTTCAATAAATTAATTTATTTTAATTAATTAAAAATTATTCAATTAATTTGAATTAATCATTTAATTTTAATTAAAAATTCATACTTTCAAAGCTAATAACTTTTAAGTGTAAAATAGAAAGAATAATGTCATTTATGCATTGATTTTGTCAAGTGACAAATATTATTTCTTCTGTTCACTTTTAATTGTCATATTGCGCTTTTCGAAAGTTAATTTGACTAAATTTCAAAGTTAAATTAGATTATATTAATTTGATATTCTAAACATGAAATTTAGATATTCAAAAACTATACAAAAAGTACCATAAATTGCAATTTTTGCAAATTAATATTAATCAAATTTTTTATAGTTTGACTCTAAAAAAGAAAATTATAACAATTAAAAGTTGATGGAGAATAATGACCATCAAATTTTTTGTAAGAACGATATATAAATAGGAGCGGAGAAAGTAAAAAGTATAGGACTCCTCACTGTTTTTTAGTAAGAGCATAAAACAGTCCACTTTCTTTATACTTAATTATACCCATCAACTCTGCTAGCTGTTGACCAAAATCAGAAAAATAAAAATTAAAAAATTAAAAACAGCTAGGGTTTCTTTTTCATTTATTACATTTTACACCCTGGATTTTTAATTTTATCTACTTCCCCCCCACAATAATAAAAAAACAAACAAGAAACCAGTGTCACTTCATCCCCTTCCTAATATCAGCCAACAACAAAAGCAAAACGCTTACTACAGCAGCTTTCTTGATTTTTTTTGTCTTTTCTTCTTTTCAATTCTTCGTTTTTCTAGTATGAATGTATAAGTTTTCAGGCATAATGTTGGGTTTTTATCGAGTTTCTATGATGCAGAAGCTGTCAATGTTGCTGTTTTTTGTTCTTTTTTACAGTATAACGAGTTCTGCAGATCTGAACTCCGACCGGGATGCTTTACTGGCGTTACGCGCCGCCGTGGGTGGTCGTACTATGTTATGGAATGTTTCTAATGCAACCCCATGTAATTGGGCTGGTGTTTTATGTGAGAATAACCGTGTTACTGTTCTCCGGTTACCGGCGGCGTCACTTTCCGGTGAGATTCCGGTGAATACCATTTCGAATCTTACTCGAGTTAAGACGCTTAGTCTACGTTTTAACCGGCTTTCGGGTTCTCTTCCTTCTGATATTTCTCAACTTGTTGAGCTTCGTAATCTTTACCTTCAGGATAACGAATTTGTTGGTTCTATACCTTCTTCGTTTTTCACGCTTCATTTAATGGTTCGTTTAGATCTTTCTAATAACAATTTTTCTGGAGAAATACCTTCTGGGTTTAACAATTTGACTCGTTTGAGGACACTTTTGCTTGAAAACAACCAGTTTTCTGGGTCTATTCCGGAGTTAAAGCTTTCGAAGCTTGAACAATTTGATGTCTCTGGTAATAGCTTAAATGGGTCTATTCCGAAGAGTCTTGAAGGAATGCCTGCTGGTGCTTTTGGTGGGAATTCACTTTGTGGGAAGCCGCTTGAGGTTTGTCCTGGGGAAGCGACTCAGCCTGCTATAGCTACTGGTGGGATTGAAATTGGGAATGCGCATAAGAAAAAGAAGTTGTCTGGTGGTGCAATTGCTGGCATTGTTGTTGGATCTGTACTGGGATTCCTTCTTCTGTTGTTGATTTTGTTTGTATTGTGTAGAAAGAGGTCTGGTAACAATGCGAGGTCTGTTGATGTAGCTACATATAAGCATCCGGAAACAGAACTTTCTGCGGAGAAGTCCAATGTGGACGCTGAAAATGGTGGTGGTGGAAATAATGGGTATTCAGTGGCGGCAGCTGCTGCTGCTGCAATGACGGCTACTGGAAAGGGAGGAGAGATCGGCGGAAATGGCATTAAAAAGCTGATCTTTTTCGGGTCTGATAGATCGTTTGATTTGGAGGATTTGTTGAGAGCTTCAGCTGAGGTTTTAGGGAAGGGGACGTTTGGAACAGCTTACAAGGCGGTGTTGGAGATGGGCACAGTTGTAGCTGTTAAGAGATTGAAGGATGTAACTATATCTGATATGGAGTTCCGGGAGAAAATCGATAAAGTTGGACAAATGAATCATGAGAATTTGGTTCCTCTTAGGGCATATTATTACAGCAGGGAGGAAAAGCTTCTTGTCTATGACTACATGCCAATGGGAAGCTTGTCTGCACTTCTTCATGGTGAGTCCAAGTCATACTCTTTCCTTATAAATTGATGATTTTTTGTTGTTGTAAATACCTGAGGGCAATCTCTATTGCTTTTCTTGCTTTAGTCTGTGGATTGGTTAGTTGGACTTGTTAGCTTATTGTAGTACTACATGCAATGCATCTTTTTGTGGGAGAACATCTAACTGAAGTGTTGCATTTCGTATGAATTTGAACATTTCTTTTCAATGAATTTTAAAAGCACGAGTTCAATTATTGATAATGTCCTCTCATTTCTCTAGATTTGGTAGAGTTGTATCTGTGAAATGTTGCTTTTATAGCCTGTGAAACTCGGAAACTTATTAAATTGCTAATAGATTGTAAGATGTTTGCTATAATTTTATTCGTGCTATTCACTACTAAGCTCTGTTATTTTCCAGGAAATAAGGGGGCTGGCAAGACTCCACTGGATTGGCAAGTCAGGTCAGGCATTGCCCTTGGCACTGCTCGGGGCATTGAATACCTGCACTCTCAAGGTTCAAACGTCCATGGGAACATTAAATCATCCAATGTTCTTCTCACCAAATCATATGATGCACGAGTGTCAGATTTTGGCCTAGCCCAGCTGGTTGGACCTCCAACTTCCCCAACTCGAGTTGCTGGATATCGTGCTCCAGAGGTAACCGACCCACGCAGAGTTTCCCAAAAGGCAGATGTATATAGCTTTGGTGTATTGCTTCTGGAGCTTCTTACTGGGAAGGCACCCACTCATGCCCTCCTGAATGAGGAAGGTGTTGACTTGCCAAGATGGGTGCAGTCCATCGTTCAAGACCAATGGACTTCACAAGTTTTTGATATCGAGCTCCTCAGGTACCAGAGTGTTGAGGAAGAAATGGTGCAACTCTTGCAGCTCGCAATAGATTGCTCGACTCAATATCCCGACCACAGACCTTCTATGTCTGCTGTCGTTGAGCGAATTCAAGAGCTCTGTCTCTCAAGCTTGCGGGTTACTCAAGAACAGTCTGACTCTGTCAATGAATCTGATTGAGGTGGTCCTTAGTCCTTTTACATGTGCAGTACTTGAACTAAAGAAGCACCATCACCAATTTACAGAACCCCATTTAAGCATATTAAACTTTAATGCTTTCTGTTGGTTAGTAGGGCCTATCTTCTTTCATTTAAATTTTAACAATTTATGCCCCTTTCTTTTTTTCTCAGTTCTCCATTGTAGTTGAGCTAGAGCCCTTTTCATTTTCCTTTGTGTGGGGGGCCATTCTCTGTACCATTTGTTCTTGTTGGGTGGATAATGGTTGCTGTAATTATTACTTTCAGCCTTTACTTTGCTTTCACTTTAACCAACTTTGTTGAGAACTTAATACCCACCTTTAGGAGGTTTGTTGTTTGGTAGTAGTAGTAAATTAGTGAAGTTTTTTTTTTTTGGTTTCCCACCCGGTGTCTTGTAACTGCATTGAACCTCGACTATTCAGGGGAAACACTCTCTACCAAGGATTGTCATGCTTTGTTTGTGGATCAGGACAAAGTTTCTTTGGTTTCACGGATTGTGTACCCTCTTTTACTTCGTTTTTGATGATCTCTTATCACTTTATCCAAGTCTTAATTAAAGTAATTACTCGTCTTTCTTGGAAGTTGGATGATGGCATAAAGAAATATGCCTCTTGGGGTCTAGGTACCTTTTTCTTTTATTTTGCCTCTTACCTTGCATCAATTGTTTACACCAATTCGATAAATACATGACACGTATTTTCACCAACATGTGAGAGAAGTTTTTACCACTAGCTATTGATTAGGAAAGGCATGTGGTGCTTCTTTTGATCCTGGATATTACTGAAGCTAGTGAATTTTTAAGGTTTCAATGATATTTTGTTAGTACAAAAGGTGGCAAGACTGATTGGAAGTCTGAAAATACTTAAGTGATTGTGAGACTGAAAGTGAAAGATACATGAAAAGAGGTGTCAATTAGTGACAGACCCAATCATGGTTTGCGGATTCGGCAGAACTCAATACTTGACATCAAAAACTCTACATATATGCGCAAAACTAATATATATATATATTTCAAAATCTACGTTAAATTCTGAATCCGTCACTATTATTAACAGATGAAAAAGTGTAATAACTAGTAATTATGAAAACCCAAAAAGTTGTTTGCTCTAGTGGTCCACATATATTTTGAAGACAATTATTGGTCACACATAAGGAGAGTGAGCAGACACTGGAAATTTTAGTGGTCCATTCAAAATTTGTTAGCATCCAAAGTATTGAAAGGATTTTACCATATCTCTCAAAGGTCTCGTCAACCTTGGATCTATTTGACATTGGGCCAATGACAAGTTCATGTAACAGCCAAAATAGTCAAGAAACAAAATTGTAAAGCTAACTTATTTTAATCTATGTGACCCTCTTTTTGGTGATATTTCTATTATGTATTGGCTTGCTTTGTCCTCACTGGCATTTTGATTTGAAATTGTTGTGGAGCTGTTCTTTACCCCAGTGTGTTTATACAATTGAATGCCTAAGCATGTGCTATAACAAATAAGGTTTCTTCCCTTGAGGTGGACCACCTAACCACTTTTGAACATGTATTTGCTCCAATCACTATTATTAAACTTACTCTTATCCTCAAAGGTATGGTCTAATCGTCAATGATTTGGGTAAAAAATCGAAGGAAATACAACAACAATAATAACAAACGTAATGTAATCCCACAAGAGAAGTTTGGGGGGTTTGTTGTGTATGCAACTTTACCTCTATCTTTAGAGGGTAAAGAGGTTGCTTCTGATAAACCCTAGACTCAGTTTTAGCATATCAACAACAAGTATGCAAGGCAAAAATAAAGACAGAGAACAATAGCAAAACAACTAATACGATAACTCTAAGCAAGGGAAATAAAAAGTAATACTAAAATCGAAGAACTAGATAGTAGAAGAGTATTACTAACAAAATTGAAAAGGGAACTAGACACGCTCGAGTACCTGCTAACTTTCTACCCTCAATTCTCGACCTCCATTATCAATTATCATACTATTATTATCAAAGGTACGACGACCTAACTCAATCAATTCTCAACCTCCATTATCATACTATTATTATCAAAGGTACGAAGACCTAACTTTCAATTATATGGGTAAAAATCAAACAAAGTTGCGTCTCAAATTTCAACAAAAATAAATAAAAACTTGTTGGATGATTTCTTTCTATGTATTTAATTATTGATAGATAGAATTACTTAATATATGTATAAGTGAAATGTGATATGTATCCGACAGAATAGTCGAGATGTGCACAAATAAACTCCCTCACCATTTCACCAAAGAATTCAATAATGGTTTCCAAATACAAATACCATACAAAGTATAAGCTATATAGTAAGAGGAAATTTTTTAGTGTAGGTACATAAGAAAATTTCATCCACCCCACCCTACTTCATGTGTAATGTTAACTTTAAAAGTCAAGAGTATGTATCTTCTAGTTGATTTTTCAAATGCTATTATATATATTTATTCCAATTCTCAAAGTAAAAAAATTGAGGTCCAAGAAAGTACAAAGTACCAAATGATCATAATAATTAAGATTTTAAAACAAGCTATATTTATCAATATGATTATAAGGCTTAGGTTTTAGGTACAACGGAGCATTATAATACGATTCTATTTATCTAGTATTGTAACAACCTAAGCCACCTAATTAAAGGCTGTAACAAATAAAAGCTGTTAGTTAGGTTGAATCACCAGAAGATATATATATATATATATATATATATACAAGTTAGATTAAATATGTACCATTTGTCTCATTTGCATATACACGGTGACCTTAGGTAGGAGCATATACATTACGGATTATTATGGAAGGTTAGTAGGTAGTTGAGCATTGTATTGTGTATATCGTAATATTAATCATATTCATGTAGTTTATTATCTATCGAAGTTATTTTCTTTTGATATTTGTTACCATGCTTTGTTAATTTTATGTTGTTTATCACACTATTCTGTTGTTATTACTGTTCCTCTTTTTTAATGCTCTATAATGCTTTCCTTGTGTCATATTTCATATACTTACATATTTTCTGTTTCATAATTACTTGAATTTGATGCACTTGAACTGAAGGTTTTTAAAAATTGTTTATCTGTCTCCATGAGATAATAGTAAAATATGCATACACTTAATTCTTTTCAGATCACATATATATAAAATTGATGTACTCACCATTTTTTTCTTACTAATTTATGATTATTGTAAGAAATCAACCTTGGCCTTTTTGTTAATTGATTCTCGGACTGCTATAAAATACTATTATTTGTTGTGATTAACAGGTACCTAAAATTAAGTTAATAATATAGAGGCATGCAGCTATACTTTATTTCATTTTATATTTTCGGCTCTGCTCCACTTGTGATTTCAGGGTGGACAAGAGGACAAAAGTAAAAAGTTTATTAAAACTAAAATCAATTACCTATAGGACTTACTCGAAGGGTTGAGTAAACTATCAAATTCTACCGGTGGATCCGAAGAAAATAAAGTATACTTAAATATTATATTATCTTTGAAAGACTCTCAACTTAAATATTGCTAGTTAGAAGTAGCGAAGTCTAAGCATGTGAATGTTTTTAGACTCTTCTACTTAATTCTTACTTATCTAATATTAATTTGTTTAATATGAAATTAGAAGCTTTTAAGGGTGTTTGAGTAAACACCAAAATGCTTATGAGCATCACCAGCTTATTAAGACATTTTGATAAAAGGAAAAAGTGCATACAAATCAAAAGCTCCATGGCAAATATAAAATTTGCTATGGAGCGCAATTATGCAAACTATAGCTATAACATACCTATGTGAAAGTTGATCATTTATATTATAAACATTTTTGTTTAGCTCATTCTTAATATTTTAGGTAAACACCATATTTTTCTTTCCAATCATAATCCTTAATCTATCTTTATTTCATATTCGTCATTTGCCCTTTTAATCATCTGCCATACTTTAAAACTTATTTTGTAAACTTCGTTAGGGACAATTCAACAGAAAAATTATGCTGATAACCACTCAAAAGGCAATTGAGTGGTTACTATTTAAAAGTCAGACGATAATAAATGGGCTCTTGGGCTTATAGGACCCTTATTTAAAGACTCATTATATAAGTGAAGGTCTTTTATTTAATAATTACCATTTTTAAATATACTTTTATTTTATTACCATTTTTATCAACTTTTAGCAATTCTTAAACAATTTTGTTTAAAGAATTTTCAACTTAGCAAAAAGTGTTGTATCAAATTGAGAACTAATCGGAAACATTCATCTACCCATTCGTTCATTCCTTCTTGAGCAACTTTCACATATAACAAACATAAAAATCATATTTGTATGTTATAGCTATAGTTTGCATAATTGTTTGTTATGGAGCTTTTGATTTATATAATTCGCTAGATACATCCAATTTTATACAAATTGTTCAGTTTTGTATAAATTCATTTATACATTGTAATTTGTATAATAAGATCTGTATTTGTATAGTTATAAGTGTATAGGATAATAATATATGTATTTGTATTTGTATATACACTTTTCTCTCGCTTTATACAAACACAAACGCATTTTATACCGAAATGTATAAAATGACTAATTATATACCGAAAATGGCTAATTGTATACCGAATCAGCTGGCAAAAAAATGGGATGTTTGCTGTGAATTAAAAATAAAATAAACTATGGCTATAACATTTAATTTGAATTAATAATTTACTATTTCATACAATTTTCCTTTCTTCTTTCGCTTTTCTTTCTACTCCTCTCTAAAAATTTTAGGATTTTGTTGTTCTTTCTTCTTCAATTATCAGCACAAAATTCTAATGGAAGAAGGTAAACGAAAATCGCCCAGAAAAAGTTCGTGGATACTTAGTGATGTTGACTTGTTTAGGAATACCAGTTTTAGTTACTTCAATATTATCTATGTCTAGTTGAAGCTCTTCGTTATTCTACTTATATGGTATGCCCATTTTCTTAATGATCTCAGCAACTGCACCAAGCTCTTTTTAAGGTAAATTATCAAGACCTTTATTAAGTTTCTAGATTTCTTCAGTCGTCATGTCCCTCTTATTTAAGGGCTTCTTCTTCCTCGGATGATCAGCTACCCCGATAATTGACTTACACCTTTCTAAAATCATTCCTTGAGGGACATGTCTAAGTGTTTGATACTCATCCAGAAAGGGAATAGGATTACGAGTATTTCTACTAGTGGCCGGTGTGGGCAAGTCTTTTTTATTCCTATTAAGGGCAAACCCTTTGTTCTTCCTCTCATTTTTGTTATTATTTATTTTTTT